TGATACCTTCCATATAACTCTGTTTCGAGAACATTAACAGAGCAGTAACAGTTACGCATCACCGTGGCCCCGGGACAGTAAGACTATCTTGTGTCTGTATCGCTGTCGTCTTGGTCAAAGAACTGCACATCGAAGCTGTCTCGTGTCTGAGTACTGAAAAATCCCGGGATTCCTAACTTTCGATCCCATTTCGAAGTGTATGCCTTGTCATGATCGTAATAACCGAATGAGTGCGTTCGCGGATACAGACGGCATTGACGAGATTTCCGCGAAAGATTTCAATAGCAGCGAAGCTTCAGTCATTCGGAACTTGTTAGCTCTTTTTGCTTCATATGGGTTGCAATTGCATTTGTATATACAGATGTTGAACACGAGTCGTCACAAGAAATGCATGCGGGTTGCCTTTGCTGATTCACTTGACTAGTGGGCTGCGCTAAATTGGACATATGTATGGTCACCCATGGCATTTAGTTGGAAAGTTTACGCTACTGACACATGACACGAATCACGAGAGAACATTCTTGCGCCTGCCCGAAATCGAAAAACTAGCTTTCTGCAGTATCTGACAGGCTGATAGATAGATTTTATGTTAGTTTTTTTAAACAGTATGGTTCAGTGAATAGTAGAGTGCCTTCGGTCTTTGTTCCTCTCTTAAGAGCGAAACCTTAACGGATACACTTTGAGATAGTCTATGTTCATCTCGTCGTCACCTGCCTTCGGTAGGGGTGCTCTGTATATGTAAAATTCAAATTCTGCAGCCGATCAGACTTTAACTTATAAGAAAGTTTCCCTGACTTACTTCCAGTACTCGACAGTACCTGATGTCGAATGTACTTTACGTCCGCGATCTGCCCTACGGATGCCTCCATAGTGGGTTTACAGAAAGGTTTCTTCTTGCGGGTCTCGCCTCTGACAGATATGTTAAACAAGTACGTTATTATTTAGATGCATGTAACAGCGCTAAGCTTAAGTATATCATATGCTAACAAGGTAATTCTGTGATTATGCTCAGAAATCTGTGAATCTCTTCCGAGTGTATTAAAATGTTTCAGTTAAAGCATGTCTGCAAAAGAAAGATTTAATCTTTCATCGAGATCGATTTTACTTACAAGGCTTGATAACTGCTAATTTTCTTGCTAAATTTCAGTTTACTTTTACATGTTCTCTTACAAAGAGCAAACACGCCAAGAAAGGACCATTTTTGCATTCGCACTAAGCGATAGACTGTACAAAGCTTATTCATGTAGCGTCTACATTCCGCTGCATGTTCCTGACCACTGTTAAAGTCACAACCGATGACCGTATATACTTAGGAATGATACGTCATCTATGACTGACAGATGCCAGGTTCTTGAAGTGCTCAATATCGGTGACAGTTAGGCATTTTGACATAACAATTCATGTTTTTGTATCAAAGCTCTCTGCACTGACTAGCAGATTGCATATGTGGGTCTTTGAAGATCAGAGAATGCGATATTACGCGATATTACGTTAATGCGCGTCTGTTAACGAAATATTCGTTCCATAACTTAAGAGCAGTCTTTTGTACTTCTGCAGCAAAATTTAATAGCTGGCATGAAGTACGTTACTTTTTAGTCTGGTCGTAATCAGTTTCTAACCATTGCGTCGCAATACTTCATAAGTGTGACAAATTCTGAAGACTGAATTTCAGTGCATGGCAGGTCTAAGTGTTCAGTATATTCAAACGATCTGGTCAAACAGTCTGACGTTTGTCTGCCTGCCATGCGTGCTTTCGTCAAGAAACGTCCGCCTTGTGACTCGAGTGGAATGCGCTTACAGTCAAAGATATTTCGGATTTTCTGAACCTTGTTAAACTCATGTTACTAGCGGTCTTTTGAATAAAACTATTTCTGCTTGCTGCATTTTGAATCACCCTGTAAGTCAGTTTCCAGCACTCATTACTATACGTAAGAATGAGTGCGTAGACAGACTTGAAGGCAGGAAATTTCTCATTGCTGCTCAGCTGTTCCTTCATCACTATAAACCGATTTCGATTCTGTGTTATTTTGCTGGCTTGGACCGTTCGTGTGTCTGTTTCTTGAATGCCATCTCTGTTGAATTCTACCCTAAGATACGTAGCGATATCTTTTCTGCTGCAAATCAGTTATTAATTATGTTATTCCTGTGCAGATCCATGAGATTTAGTACAACTTTCAATTCAATTTTTTAAACTTGGAGAGGTAAAAATTTTCCGTTGAGTAGTGAATGCAATTTTTAAGAAATGTTTTTTTCTTCCCGTAATTAAGCCTCTTTTGGAAGATCCAAATTTCTGTTGCATCAATCTGAATCACACTAAGTTACATATCTGTTTTCAAAAGTACAAATGAACGACCACTATGCACTACAAAGTGCTGAACAGAAGATGCGGTTTAAAATGGCATAAGGATTGTCATCTCGTTTCACCCTTATTCAGTGGAAGAATATTCACGATATTGATAACACATCTGATGATCAGTGGAAGAGACGAATGATGCTGTGCTTCACATGTGTACTGGAAATGGCTAAAAGCCTCATTTCTCATCGACATGATCTTGAATTCCCACCTACCGAGCATTTATGCAGAGGATAGGCTGAGTCTGAAAGGATTATCTTCAGCTTGTCTGCTTCTTTGACAGCGGTCATGATACCTGACTTAGCTGTTTCTGGTCGCGTCCGCGTGTATCATGTTCATAATTGATCAGCAGTTCGTTTTGTAAGTTACGCATGTGGTTTACTGATTCTGACTGGTTAATTTTCATATGGTATTTGTTTTAATTTTTCTGTTTGCACAATGTACTGATTTTCAGTAAGTTATCAGGTGCGTCAAGGCAAATTACAGTCGTGAGGTGCACGGGTCAGATGGTATAGTCATATATCTCGTACGCTGTGGCATGACCACGTTAGAATACCAAGCTTTTCCTGTTATTCGTAAGTCAACGACTTGCTATCCATTTGTCGACTAATTGCACCGAATGGCGGTGGAGTGAATTCATTGCTCAAGGCAATTAGCAGTTAATAAGAGAAAATTTCCTCCGCTCTTGACGTTTGCACCCGGAAGCTCTAAACCCAACTATTACGAATAAACTTCTTCGTCCTCGTCTTCTAACCCGTTACGTCACTGCCTATGTATAAATTTCTGAGTTTGGATTACTTACTTTTTTTTAAGAAGTCAGCACATGTCTGTTTCAAGTTAATGAGAACGTTTAAGGTATGCAGTTAATCTTTATAGATAGGTTATTCCGCACTTTTTCAACTATTATTCCCTAGAATATTTGATATACTCTCAACTACTGATACTGGATTACACGACATTTACACGACGAAAACTATAAAATGAAGTGATATACTTTGCAGCAATACTGCGGTAGAGTGAGATAGATAAAAATCTTTACATTAGATTGCATCACAACATTACATAGCCCCGTTTCGTCTAGTCGTTTAGAAGGACCATTTAAGCACGTCATGGCTACATGTTGTTTAGCGCATGCATTTGATATATCAGTTATACCGTGACAGTTAGCGCCAACATTTTGTTTTGTTCGTTTGCCGTCATCTCTTAACTGGTTGACGGATCGTTCTTGTCTGAAAATAGCAAATTACTGAGATTTTTCGTTACTGTAACTTTGTCATACTCATGCTTCTGATATTTCCATTTCAAAGGAGACATAAATTAAACACATTTTCGTTGTTGCTTCGCGAGTACAGTTCACTCTCTTCCTAAGGGTTGATCGCTGGAGAAACAGTGACGGCGAATTAAGTGACGACAAAAGGCCGAGTGGCAGAGTGCTGCTGAGTGACAAGTATCGAAACGGTCATTTTGTTTGAGCATTGTTATGAGTGATGTATTGTGAGACGCTTGTGAGACGCGTTTTCTCTGCTATCAACTTTCACCAGTTTGCTTAGGCGTTGACCCAACAGCATCACGATGAAGCTTTGTATTTCGCATAGTGCCGTAGATGAAGAAGCGAAGGAACAGAAGCGAATGAACAAGCAAATCGAGGAACAGCTGCAGAAGGATAAGCAGCTATACCGTGCAACACATCGTCTTTTACTACTCGGTGAGCATTGTTTAACTTGTCTTTTTTCAGTATGTCATTAGTTATAGACTGTGGATTGAAGTTATGCACTAAGACCATTAAAATATCTACGCAAATATGACCAAAGAAGGGACAAATATGCTTTTAACATAAAAGTTATGTATTCAACGCCACTTGCTTACTTTCATCACTATGAACGAATCTGTCTTTACAATATGTTACTGCAGATTTTCTTGTCTTCGAGTATTAAGCATTGCCTGTTATTCGTCAGTATGAGATTATAGGCTGGTGCATTGAGGTATTAGCTAGTAACATCCCGTTCATTCACATAAATAGCGGTTGACTAAGAAGTCCAAAACAAGGTTTTCCGACTTCAGAACTTCGTCTCAATTTCGTGTCTTTAACTATTGGATTGGAAAATCTTATATTTTGAAAGCTTCATACTTCAGTTTTGACACCGAATTAGCTATGAATTGTAAAAGATAGCTAACTGCTTGGCACCCCCCCATTTAGTCGTAGGCAAGGGGCCAGTTTTTCTGATATCTTCTGCAGCAAAATTCCAAATAGAGGTAACTGAATTACTGCAAGTGACTCCTGTAATCCGGTATTCGCGGAGTTATGCGTTATCTAATGAATCCATGTAATGGTATACCCTGAGTTTCGAATATCTTAATGGCTAGAGCAGAAGTTAGGTCTTGAAAGATAATGTCATTTTATCATTTTCAGATGCAAGTTACAGATGCACCATCACTCCTTTCAAGTTTTGTTGCATCTTCATCCTTCCTTCATCCGACTTGTACTCGTTGTGAACATGGCACGAATGCAAGTCTGCGCT